ATATACCTGAGCTTCTACCCTTCACTCCGATCCTTACTTCTTGGTTTCCTACGCTAGCATGAACCCTTGTTTTGGACTAAGATCTCCCAGATATGAATTCGGCATCAACGACCGCCACACCTCTAGGGTAAGGTTTGTGGGCCTGTATTGCCCATCAGCGGTCAAGCTGCGGAGGCTATGCGCATGCCCCATATGAACTAAGATCCAGTTTATTGTGTTTCCTGTCATCATGCCCAAACACAACTTGTTCAGCGGAGTGGTCCAATAAGTCGAGGATAAAGCTTCATTGGTATTTAGTCCTTGGAGAGCTGAGGACCGTTCATATGACTTTGAACCACTCCCGTAGGGAGAGTCTAACGGAAAGTGTCCTGTGTAGAATGACCGTTTTTTAATAACTAACACAATACATAAACAACCTTTGATGATTATTTTGTTGTCTTCAAGATCGTTCAGAAGGTCAGAGAAGGAAAGTCTAGATGAAGGATCAATGTCACTGCTATGATGCATGATCCTTTTTAATAATGACACAGCCGTAAGAGAATTTCTTCTTTTCGTAAACTGGGTGACGGGTCTGTTATTCTTTTTAGCTCTATCCGAGGGCTTAATGTTGCGTAGGTATATAGCAAAAATCCACCTCAAGGACATTCGAGAAAACGGAAATCGAGTTCTCCTTGCCTCTTTGTCTGTTTTTTTTTTCTTTTTTACTTGTCTATTTTTCTGTTTATTCGCGTGTTTTTATACTTCTGTATCACCTTAGTGCCATCAATCTTTACTACTAGTGTCCAGCCTCTTTCTCCACAAGCAGGAATTTCAGACATATAGCAGTACACCTCCTCTTTAGCTCCAGTCTCTCCCAAAGGAAAAATGGAGTAACGGCCATTTTTCGTCAACCTACGGTATAGGATAGGTACTGATCAACACAGTTGATCTGATAATAAGCTAATTACTTTAAATGCTTAATACACAGGTCAACCTCTTACCTGCAGGGGGCATGTATATTGCAATCTTTAATAAATATTCCACAAAAATTATCAGACTTTGTGTGTATCGTGTTACCTTCTAGTGTCGTAGATTTCTTTGCAAGAAAAAGGAGGTGAATAATAAAATGTGCCTAAAATTAAAATTTCCAATACGTATAAACATTAAGAGCTTCTATGAAATACACTGCTCATTTCATAATCAGTTGAGTTAACACTGTTTTCAAATGAATTTTTACAAGACCGTCTAGGTGAATTTTTGTCTGAAAAAAGGGCGTCAATCTAAAAGAAAAAAAATGGGGTATAAAAGTGTTCATACCATTTAAAGTATCACATTAATATCAATTCCCATTTTACTGTATATGTTTCACTTTAATTATTATTTCTAAAATTTCTCTCCATTAAATAAAATTCGTATTAGGTTAGTAGTTTTGGAGACAAATAGATAAAATTCTGGTGAGGCATACGATGGTTGAAATAGGGGAGGCACTTTCCAGCCTCGGTGTCGCTCCCCTTTCAAACAGCTCATGCTTACCAGCGGGTTCCTCTTCACATTTTCGTTTGTTGAAATCAGAATTGCGACCAAGCTGAATCATCAAGAAAACGCAACAAGACGTTGGCTGTTTAACTATTTTAAGAAAAAAGATCGAGGCAAGAAGTATTCCTAACTGGGGGACATGACGTACGTTTCTTTACGAGCTGATCAAAGTACTTGCAGTTGCATACGGAATTAGGGCGTAAGCAAAAGGAGTGAGTCACGAGGCGGGGGGGGAGGCACCTTCACGTGCTCCTTTTAAAAACACAATGCTACCATAGAGTCATGATCTTTTTATGGGAGAAAAAAAGGTTACGTTACCTTTGGTAAACGGATTCTAGCTTGAAAGTCACAGTAATTGTGACAATTATCAGCCCTTTCGTCTGTTGCAGAGAGCCATACATTCCGTCTCGTCCAGAGAACTATGTACTTCGAATGGCCTGTCTACTTTAGAAGCTTCTTTGGTGATCAAGAAAGACGAAGACGTTCCCTCCACGGTACTTTCAAAAGCAATCGAAATAGTTCCCATGATGAAAACGGAAACGAAAAGAAAGGAAAAGACCATTGTTTTCGGAGGATTTCCAGACGTCTTAACCAAAATGAAAATACAGGTTTAATATTGTTATTTCCACTTGAATCATTCCTTAAACCGACGGGTTTCAGTTTGCCTGAGAAAACCTACTAACACCTGCAATGGCTAGAATGCATTTGCCCTTCCTACTTTAACTGTCAAACGGGTTTAACCTAACTTGATTTAGTTGGAGACACAAACTTATCAGAGACTGGATTTTTCTCGACGTATGGCAATTGAAGCAGACAGTACGTCGAAATCGTAGCATCTAAAAAACCAATTATTTGACAACCAATTACCCACATTTGATTCAAATTTGTATAAGTTATATTTCAGTCTGTTGGTGTCGTGTCAGAATAGAAATGTCCAGTAAGCGTTTTCACTAAAGTTAAGTAAATAATGAGGGCTAGATTTACTCGAGGATGCAAAAATTGCAACAGTTTGTTTATTCAACCAAATGGATTATAGAAGTCCCTCTTTTAAAAATTTACAAAGAGATCTCCTATAAATGGTTCCTCCTAGGGAAGTTCTCGCCTAAAGTAAATCGTTTATCGTGCAATCGATCCCAATATGCCGGCCACGGGAGCATATGATGGCACACCTTCTTTAACTGCTTTTCATTTCTTCACTTTTCTTTCCTTTTTAGCTCAAGAGGGGTGAGGAGGGTGAACCTGGGCAACCTTCAAAGATAATTTGAAAGCTAAACACTGATATCAGAGTTTCGTTTAAAAACATTAAGAGACACCTCATTTAGTGATTTGCGCATGAGTGTCTAAGAAAAATGACGACAAGACGACGCGAGCATCCTTATCATTTTATAGGCGAGTCCTTCATTGAGACATGGATGTCTCTGATGATAAGAGTCTGTATAAAACACCGAATCTTTATCAGCCTGATGCCTTATGGACTACTTACTATCACGTTACAGAATGTAGAGGTTATATAAACCACTATATCTTTATCAGCATGATGCCTTGTAGACTGCATATTATAGTGTTACAGAATATAGAGGCTGATAACAACCATTTTTACTATTATACCTGTTTAATTGCTGTTATGCAAGGTTCCTCAACCCAGTTCTCTTCTTTTGGGGGAGAACAAGTATTTTTTTTTTCGAGACTAATCACGGTCCTTTCAAGAAATATATTTTAATTGCGTGCAGGAAATGAACAAGAGATAAAGCCGGAAAGGAAAGGGTAAAATAAGATAACTACTTCTAAGTAGACGAATATATGACATTCTATCATACAGCACAACGAAGAGATAGACATTCACTTCCTTGGCTAAAATTGCGTTCCATTCTCACCCTTTCTGTTCAAAGTCATTTCGTATTGAAATTTCCGACAGTCTATTTTGAGTCAAAGCATTATTGTACCATTTCCTCCAATTTGAATGGGTTTTAGACATTCTGCTGGATTTATGCAAACAAGTGAAGATTATCGTCAAGCATTTTCCGAGAAATTGGAAACTCAAAGCTTTCAAAGTAATTAATCGTTTGTCACTCACGGTGAAAGAAGCTTTCGACCTTTGCTCCACCAAAGATCATTGTTATCACGTGTAAAGATACCCCGCGAACCGAAAAATGAGCTCGGTCGGTGCACAAAATACCAGTCGCGGCAGATTATCCACGTGCTATACTTTTTGGGATTACGACTGTGTCATTCAGTGTTTCTTGGTCTTAAGAAAGAGTACTTACATACTTGTAGGCGCGCAGCAGCAAATCACTGAGCAAGAAAAAGCACAATTCTCTATGTAATATATTTACACAAAAATAACTTACAGTAAATTTCGCTAAGCAGTTTTCATGATTACAATTCTTTTCATTTAAATCAACATAAACAATAAATAATTTGTTGGATCCGAGATTTCCTGTTTTTTTTGGGCCTCCCGCTATTCTGGAAAATGTTCGAAAGAAAAAAAAAATTATTATTAGATTCACAACTATGGGCATAAAATTGTGTCAGGAAATTAATAAACAGATCGTGGGTTATATGCCTTTTGACAAAATCAAACAAAGATTTTAATTCCGTCAAGATTTTAGATTCAGGCTTATTAATCTCTTTTCTGGGGTGAGATACGATATTGTGAATCGAATTGCGACAAGAGAACAAGAAGTTTATGGTCTCTTGAATTCAGTATCCTAACCCTGTACAATAATTGGACATTCCCTGATTTCAAAAGCCACTTGCATTTTTCGTTTTATTTCTTTTTAATTAGTTACTCGACAACAGATAGTTTTACCTGCCAAACTGACCTTTCGATCTTTGTTTGTAATTACCTTGTACAAATGTAAGTCACCAATCCTTGTAAACAAACGAAAATCTCGATTTTTTCATTAACTTTTTCTAAACACCAATGAAATGTTGTATTAGGCGATAAATTATCGGCGGTTCCGCGGAAGCGCAAGTTTGTTGGTTGTTCTGAACATAAAAAAGTGTAATGTCATGCATACGAAGCATTCGGGAACTAAACGACGTCGCACTGAAAATTCTGTATCAGTTAGCCATCATGCCTAATCCAACGAACCTTCCAACATTTAAAAAAATAAAACTCTGTGACATACTTAATCTTCGATTACGGTTAAAATGTCCTTCCAAACTTGTATGACGTGAGCTTCTATTATTCCATCGTCATCAAATTAACCCTCGATTAGAATTTAAAAAAAAGGGGGAGGTTGAACACCTGCCGGCGACTAATCTCTTTGGCAGGAACATCGCGCATTAAAACATTGGCTGGTACTTTATGCCCACGTAATAAACATGTTTATTTTCCGTGGAATATATGAGTGCAATTTGTGTTCATTGGCTAGATCGTTTGACAACTGACGTGAGATGGCAGATCAGGTTTCCCAAAATGAATATTTTTTCAAGTGTTGATCAGCCCTCACTCAAAAACTCAATCTTTTCCTTGCGCGATTATGATTGAAAAATAACTGACGTCGGTCTATAAAGGGGAGAAGAGATCATGAGAAAGAGAAGTCGATTTGGTTAATTTTTACCGGTGTGAAGGAGTGTGTAGATGCGATTCTATTGTGGTAACGCCAACCAGCCTTAATTGCTACCAGATATCTAGCAATGGAAATACAGCCCAAAACTTATATTAGACTGGCAGTCTACGCAGCCATTTTCGTTGTGGGGTTTTTGGGTAACCTGCTAACCATTATCGTAATCTGTCGTCGGAGACAGAACATGTCCGCATACCAGATGTTAGTCCTTAACTTGGCAATATCAGACTTTCTTTTTCTTATCTCTGTTCTACCTTTGACATCCTACGAATTATTTGTGGTCATCGGGAAGTCTGAGGTTTTCTGCAGGTTTATTTGGCCGATGTTCACGATCTTCTATCTTCTGAGCATATTTACTATTACCTCCATGGCACTTCAACGATGCCGTTCGATTGTTTTCCCTCACCGACCGAAACTGAGCCGACGAAAGGCTTTTGCTTGGGTGGCCGCCATTTGGTTCGCAGCGTTCATCATCGTCTTACCTCTTGCCATCGTGACAAAGTCTGTCCCGCCTGGTCGGTGCGTTGAGTATTGGCCCAGCTTTCGCTACAGACAGGCATATACTCTGGCACTTTTCCTCTTACAGTATTTGATACCCTTAGTAATCATAACCATCGTGTATGCTAGAATCTCACATTTCCTACTTCACATTGGCGACTTTAGGCGGCGGAACGATAGTTTTTCAACCGAGGAACAGAGCGCAGCGGAGGCAAGAAGGATTAAGCGAAGAAATCAGGCCATTCGGACATTAGCAGCCGTTGTCATTTTGTTCGCCATTTGCCTTTTTCCTGGGCAAATAGCCTGGCTTTTGTCAGACTTTGGAAATGGTGGAAAAAGTCAGAAAAACGCTATTGATGCTCTACTCAATTTCTCATACGTGCTGGATAACTTCCACGCCTGCATCAATCCCGTTATTTATTGCCTGTTAAGCACGCGGTATCGCAAGGAATATTTTGCATGTTTACTTTATTTATTTCGTAAAAGTAGGCGAAATTAGCTGCGAAATGTAGACCTCCTATTAACGAACAACTAAAACATTAAAAAAAAGTAGATAAATTATTGACAGAGTGCTACACAGCTGAAAAAAAACCCTCTATTTTAAAGAACAACTGCGTGTCGTAATGCTTTTACATGTCGTGATGCTGTTTTGATAATTATCATTCAAGGAGGCGTACAGATACTTAGAATAAAGGTCCTCAAAAAATACTGAATAAGTTCATCAACTAAAAAGGCATGTTCCACTTGATCTAACCAGCTGAAAAATGCAACTTTGAATTAACGAAGAACGCAGATAATGCGTTTTTGACAGATCACCTTGCACACAGGATGCTGAAATTAAACTTTTACCTAGCTATAGCTTTAATAAACGCAATTTTGACGCGCCGGTAAAATTTGATTGCACCCTAAGCGTCTATGTAGGTGCTTGTCCAACCTCTATAAGGTCTTTTCAAATAAAAATACCGCTGAAAGTTAGCCATTTACAAAAGCAATTCGTTATCAAGCTGTCTTCAGTAGGAGAAGCTGTGTACACATGTAGCAGGTATATTTTTCATAAATGTTCACAGGTAAAAGATGCACTTTTTTTTAGGCGAAAACAACAATCTTCCAATAGTAGTATCTGCTGTATCTGTTTTTTTTTTCAGAAACTTTCCACCCACACCACCAAAGGTAAATAAACAACCCTTGAAGATTTAAAGAGCTGCTTTGTTGTTATCGAAAAATTCTCCTGTTTCCTCTAATTATTGGGGATTGATGAATCCATTAGTACAGGAGAACACATTTTTTTGTTTGTTGCTCTCAACAAGTCAAGTTAA